CACTTTCATTTCGATAGATAGTACCTGTGGAAAATTTCACTTGGGATGCAGATAAGATCAACATTCTGGACACACTCAGACGCCTGTCTCTTTATCTTTCTTGCTTATTTTTATGCCGCTTGTTAAACTGGAGAACCTGCTGGCATCTTGCCTTGTGAATACAATCCTCAGTTTGACTAAATAGACACGTTTATTACACACTAGTTAGTAACGTTTGGAGGACTTTCAAATCATTTCCGGGCATGGATGGCAGTGTAAATTGTGCGTAAAGAAAAGATGCTTCTTTCATCACGCGTGGTATTTCTGTGCTCAGTATTCTACATCCACTTGTCCCAGCTCACAGACCCTACGCGCAGGCTCCAAACAAGTGAATAAGATCACAAATGACGTTAACTGTCTCATAACTCTGAAGGATTAGGTCTCCGCTTATATTTGGGTACAGCAGTTTCCACTATTAGAGACAGGTTACTTGGTTGTGGCGCAACCAACTCAGAGACCGAAATTTCCTGTACCATATCAATGAAATTTTAATTGAGGGGGAACAAATACTAATTACAACTTGAACTTAGCTTGGGGCTGCTGTGCACGCGATATCTATTTGACTGCAATGAGCAAAACGGTTCGCATGTACACTAGAATAACTAGAAATATTAATAATAGTACACAATCGTTCGGCTATAACACCTTCTCAGTGCATAACTGCCAAATCACCTAAAAAAAAGCACCAGGACTGAGATACTTCCAAGTTACCCAAGCTTAGACAGGAGCCGACGAGATGCGAAGGTTGGGTTCAACCAACCACTCTTCCCGTCAGTAAGTTTCCACCTCATACCCAGATTCGGTGCTAAAATATCCTACCACAATTGCAAATCCCTTAACACCATTAAGTACGTTATCTAATTTCCGCTTGATGAGTACTGCGCCGCCCACGCCCATACTTTTATTTTTCCTTTTTTAACCGGATGTTTTATTTGGATATTATTTTAATTTATATTACGTTTCAAGTTAAGTTGGACCACAAAGAAATCCGACATTTTTTCACCGTACTGTCATACTAAAAACATCTGTTGTTTGCAGCTTTTCAGACTAATCCAAGTTTGCCAATTATAGATGAATAAATTGTTTTGCATCGCCCTCAAATACTAGAAAATATCGGAATCTGGCAGCGCGACATTGTATGATTCGAGTGCTCGACAACCGATAGTACAAGTTTCCTACGTTGCTTCAGCTTTCATGGGCACAAAGTCACACTTTTAGAAGTTTTCAGTGTAGATAGGTTTGGATAGAACGGGGTACTTGAAGCCATTTCTCTTGCTCGTTTTTATTCAGTCAGCTTGGGATATATTTGTTGAATGTTCCTCATTGGAGGAAAGCTGAGTTGATCTATCTTTAGTTCTGCTAATGCATCTCAGGTGATGGCTCTTACAGTGTCACATGATTTTACGGTCGGTTCCCTCGAGTACTAGGATAGCAGTACCAACGAGGCTTCATGCAGCCGCAGAACACTACTGGATGTCTATAGAGGAAAATGATGGTAGCTCAGGTACCGTAGATGGTGGTCGTTGGCTTGTTCGCTGAGCTGGGCAATTTGATTGCAAACGTTTCATCACCAATCGAGGTTGTGCACAATCACCAACCCACCGCTACGCACTACTACGCTCCACAAAAACGCACTGATGATATCACCTCGATTGGTGATGAAACGTTTGCAATCAAATTGCCCAGCTCAGCGAACAAGCCAACGACCACTACTGGATGTTTCCTTTGGTAACATGTTATTTTCCATGGTTTTTCATTTGATGCGCAAGTTTAGCCCGCTTAAGGTCCCGTTTACAACCTCGATTCATTTGTTTCTTTGGTAACCCTATCTAAAATCCTTCAGTTGTTTTCAAACAAATATTCAGTGACATGCTTATGGAGACAATAAAATGGTTCTATACCACGGTTTTGAATTCAAGACATACCAGTTTTAGTCCTTCTACATACCAGAATATATAATCCTTGTTTTGGCTAACGTTTTAGTCCCGAATAGCATAGTTTTTAAAGTTACAACCAAGGATATTACCTGTTTGTTCTGTGTCCTACACGTTTTGAAGCTGAGTTATGGTTTGAACTCATCAGAAAATTTGTCCAGCTGAAAGTGGATATGCGAAGGGGAATTTGCCGCACCAGGTTATTAGATGATATAAACACCGGTTGGTTTTTAAATGAACACAATTGCACTAGCTTACTCCTTACTATTGTGAATATTCTAAAAGAAGCGGAGTGTTTGAAAACACTAGGGAGATAGCTCAAAGCAAGTGGTACGTATAATTTGCACTTGTTAACATAGGAAAAAGTGATATTCAGTGGGTGCACACAAACATGGGACATTCATGGCTTGAGAAACGTTAGATTTCTGTGCTTAGCTATTGTAGCATTTGTATGGTGTTTTGGAGGCTTTTTTGCCAGAATATTCCGTAGCACATCGCACCCGAAGCTAAAAAATGTACTACGGTCGATGTCTTCAGTCCTCACTTGCTGGGTGAGCAGACTCTCAATAATCCCCTAGCTCACACAGGACACACGCTCGTAACCATAAAAAATAGCCTGCACACGATCGGACAGTTCGATGCTCAGATGCGGCAGCATTTGTCCGCTTTCTGGGCCACCCAGTCTTCGTATTTGGATTATACTCTGAACCTTGAACCGTGATCTGGCTTACACACCTTCATAACTGATGGGTAGATTTTTATCTTTAAAAAAACAATTGGGGGATGTCAGTTACCAAGCCTGCAATTTTATGTGGAGATAGTTGTACGTACATTGTAAAAATACCCTTTTCTGGTGCGGCTTCAAGTTCGATTCAATTTTTGTTACCGTAACAGCAACAGAGGTGTAAGCGTAATTTCGGAACAGTCCTGAGGGAGAACCCGCTAAGAGACAAAACTAAAAGCACAAAAAATATAACATTGCGTTTGGATTAACCCTTGCATCAAGCTAGCACTTCCGTGGTAACTAAGGTAATTTTTGTACCATTATGATTATTTTATGTTGTATCATATCATCGCCTGCCACCAGCACAACATTCATAAATCAACACGGAAGGGCTAGTGAGTCTTCTGAAGATCACCCCGAATTTCTAGACAGCAAAGGTTCAAAAGACCGCATTCGTCACCTTTTCGAAGCAACTCTCACTACAGGATGACCGCACCAGGACTGGCCACCTGGCAGTTCATGGCGATCCCAATGGTACAGTAATGGGCCTTCCCAAAAAAAACACTTTTATGGTAATGTATTGTGTTATCTGGCTGAAGCTTGGAGCAATTACTGTTTTTCTCTCTATTATAAATTTCCAAGTCTTCCCGCTTTGGGAAAATTGGTAAACACCTCACGTAGGAGAATCAGTCACACGACGAATAAGCCTACCATCTGAGTAGTCACCACTTGAGTAGCCAGTCAAAACACTGTAAACACCTGATGTTTATCCCGTGATGGGAAGATGGGTCCCGGTATATCCTGTCTAAATACTGATCAATCGCTCGTGGCTGAACGGTTATGTTCAAACTAACAGACGAGAGATTACGGGTTCGAAATTCCCTTCAGTATTGTGCTGATGATTTTCAATGAAAATGAAACAGCTGTAGAGTGCTTCTCGGCCAATCAGCGTCGACTGTCTTCATCTGAAGGAAGAGGATATCTGTAAAATATACCAAAATCCATTCATACTAGCAATTTGGCATTATTGCCCGACGATCTAATTTCCCCGAAGTCAGGTCGGCATTAGTGGCTTTCAAATAATGCCAGATTTGGCTTCATCCAATCCACACGTCGTCTAACAACTTTGTGCAAGCCTCCGATTGTTTAACCACTGACGATCGGTAGATCAGCTCCGGATGCCAGCCATCCAACTCTGTCGCTTACTGTTCTAGTGTTCTGTTCTGGTGTTCGGTTGTCCACCGTATTTGTCCAAGTATCCGCTTGATATGACACAATATCAGCAAAGACCATACAAACAATTGCTAAAATGCCTTCCCCCCAAAAAAACTCATTTTTTGTGTTTGGCGCCCGAGGTGCGAAAGTGCGCAACATGATTGCTGCTTACTCGTCATCCAAATTTCGACAATGCGTGACCTGGTTCTTATTTCATCCTGCTAACCAAATCGAACCTTTATAATAAAATTAAGTTTACAAGGAGAAAATTCTGACGCTGATCCCAAAAATTTACATATCCTATGGAAGGAATTCAATTAATTGATAATTCTCTGAGATTTGCTGCAATGTGTAGCTAACAAAACCAAACAGTTGTGCCGAACAGCGTTCACCGTAACCATAGCTTCATATTTCGCCCAATAACAATGCCTTCTAACTTTCGTAGTAAATATTTTACCTTCTGCACAGAATTTGAATGAAACGGCGTACTATTCTGAAAGTTTTCTGACCACAACTGTCTTTACCTGCCGTCATTGGGTTTGCCGTAGCCAACCACAAGCTAACTCCGGAAGTGCTTAGCCTTTATTGTACCAACCTATAAGGTTTTGGAGAACATGCACATGCGATCACTCTTCTCTGTATGTGGAACACGGGGAATATTCTAATATTCTGACAGCAGGGATCGCACATTACCAGGGGCACGTGCACCGGAATTTTTTTCGTTTACCCTTGCTTATTCTGTTTCCACTATTGGCGCCAACTTCGAATTGGCTAAGTTGTTTTCCCACAAGCCGTCTAGTTACGGTGCCTGAACCTTACAAAACCCGCAAAATTTTCCGGAACCGTGTTTCGTCCAAGGGCGATAGATGGACAGCCATCGAATCAAAACACGCGTCCCAGATAGGTGGCAAATGCTGTGTCGGTCACATAGAAAACACTCCTCTGGACCGATTGGCGTTTAATGGGATACCAATACAACGCATTGCATCAGACCAAGTCTTACGTTTCCGCACACAGTTGCTTAGGTATTTTTCTGACAAAGTTTGTTCACCATTGATATGATGTAGGAATACCACTGTCGCCAAAAAATGGAATTCGATCTTGACAACTCAAACAGTAATTTCTCCGATAACCATACCACCAGTTTCCTCGAAAACTTGTTTACAAATTCCACAACCCTTGTTTATTCCATCTACGAGGATGTGACGAAAACCGCGCAACCGTTGTCCGTGGAATCCAGTGAGACAAGCACTTCTTCCCTGCCGATTCCAACAAGTTGTGTCCGGGAAAAATGGGCAGAGCCGGATTTTGCAAGATATGCTTGTGAGGCAAACACTAACATCTCAATGATTGCCGCTATCTTCTTACTCAGCATGATTGTATTCGGAGTTATAAGTAAGCACTTCAAAGCAAAGATTCTAGATACAATTTTTTAGAAATTGAGCTTATGGATAGCCACCTCTTTATCCTGTAACGATTTGGAAATACCGAACGCTAATTTACTCCACTTACTTTACCCGCTTGTTTGAGCATGAGACATTTAGGTATCAATATAAATATTTGTAAATTGCCACTCAGTTGCCAGCGCAAAAACTAATCAGAAAGCCACTTAATAGGACAAAGCAAACGGTTTTTCAGTGAGGAGGCGTTTCAAGACTTGTGATTGATTTCCACTGAGACCATAGTGTCTACAAAACTATTCTTCATGATGGCTAAAAGTCTGGAGGTCTGAGTCTCATTGTTTCGGTTTCGTGTGGTAGTGGTACGTGTAAATCAATATACGTGTCACTGGACCTTGAATTACGACTGATTTCTCTGTCTGGAGGCTCTTTTTGTTGGTTCTGACCGTTTGGTGATTACGTGTCCCTTGATCCCGGCCTCTTCTGCTCTCATCCTATGAGCTCTGTTCTTGGCCTCTCTGGGTCCTACTTTGTGAAGCTTATTATTCTGACTCCAAGGAGTTTCTCTTTTTTCTTGGTTTGCTAATCCGATAGTCAGCTCCCTTTGAGTAATGCAGTCGAGATATTTATCTTTTCCACTTTGAGATGCGCAAATTGGTTCTAGTTCAACGCGTCGCTACACCAAATTTGTCGCTGGTACCATGCTTTCGGAGATTCCCTCTTGTGTGTAATGTTTCCTTATGACAAGTGATTTACTTTGTGGCCCTTTTAAACTCTATATACGGAAATAAAAGACAGAAGGTCATCTATTCTTACGACTGCAGTATTTCCTTCATTACTCGACAAAAAACTTGTTGCATTTGTCTCCTTTGATCTGGTATGACACATTATTCCTCCTGTTTTCATGTCTCAATAAGTGGCATTCTGTTTGTAGACTACCAGGATTACTTTTGACTCTCATCTCAGATATACTCCTGATTCAATTTACAACTATCTATCTAGTCAGTTGTTCTTTCTGTGGCTACTGATAAGGTCTCCTCTTTTTCAAGCTTCCCTTGAAAGCACATACGCAATACCATCAGCAACCGATCCACTGATATGCTGTACTCCGTTCCAAACAACACTGTTTTTTTCAATTCGCCTGACGATGAAAGATTCGCAATCAAAGTGCTCAGCTCAGCCAGCAAACCACCAACCAGAGGTGAATTTGTCTGACCTACTGACATCCCTAGCCTGAAAGCACTCTGCTGTCTCAAACAGATATCAGTATGAGCTTCTACTAACTTGAATGGGGTTCCTAACATGACCACAAAGCGTGAAATGACAAGGTCTCGAGAAGGTATGCGAAAAAGTTAAATATGGTTTATAATTACATTTTATTAGTGATTGGATAGCAATCTTGTAAACTGGTACGTCGATTACGGTTGACTGGTGATAGTAATGCCCGTTATCATTAATAAGCAGGCTACTAAGGTTACCGAACGGGAGCCAGGAAACACTGAAGAATTGAAAACTTCGGACAACCAGTTTTTTTATTTAGTCCGCTTGAATACACTGACTGCTTCCAGTTATGTTTTAACCACAACATTATGATTTTTGAGGAAGAGAACAGTGGCCTAGCTTTGTTGGCCATGCAGTGTACCTGATGATAACGATCAGAACAACTTGAAACCTAAGGGGGACAATTTTGTACTTTTCTCATGTTGAGACATTCAGTGTGGGATTTCTTAACACGGTCTGACACGAGTATCAAACCATCTCGATGGTGGATGACAGAGGAAAACGTCTCCATTGTACCACAGATGCGCATCATCTTTTTCGAATCATCTCGTACTAAAAGCTAGGTAACTTTTTAGTTAATAGTCGAGTAATTAGTCGAGCCTGAGCACATCACAACCGAGAGACTCAACTGGGTTCCAGATGAGTCTCTCGAAAAACCAAATTAATTTGCAAGTGAGTGTATATTCGCTTATTTCGTGCAATTTGGTTTCAATTAGAACATAAGGTTGACGGAAACCCGGGGACTGCGCCTACCTGATGAGCCCCAAAAAGGGCGAAACCGGTGGTGGGTTGTCGACGAATTTTCAGCAACCCTGTAAGTAGTACATTACAAAGAGCAATTCTGTCGTTTGTTCGGTGTTTGCGGTGGTTTACTATTATATGACAGAAACGATGTTCCTTTTCAACCCATCCTAGATGTATCTGTTTGAATAAGTGGCGCACACGTATGACCTTTCCGTAATACAGGTCAAAAGCGGGGCCTTTCTTAGCAAAAACAGACGTTAAGTAATTTACTTTCATCTTTCATCTTCTTTCCCGCACTTTATGTAGACTTACAAGATGGATAAAGGAGCGCGTTTTCATGAACTGCGAAAACTCTATAAAAATTCAGCGAGTTGACTCTCGTTTCCCAGTTAAACAAAGAAAACATCTGGCTGACAAAATTATTACCTTGAATTTTCAAGTTCCTCAATAGCTGTCGCAGTATGTGACCATCATCAACCAAAATAGTTGCGGTAGCTTTGCTGTGAACTGAGTCCCGTTTGCCTAGTATTCTAGATGGCCCAAGTGGGTGCCAAGAGTAGATAGCTTTTCTCTTGCAACAACCTGCATGGTTACTACATGAACTACGCTTGAAAGAGCCGGGAAGCAAAAACCCTGACCAGGTGATAAGTTAGGGATACAAGTTACCCGAGGGCTTCCATTTAACTGGCCAAGTTTGTAGTGCCAATATCATATTTTCTGGCTAAGAATTGCAGTTGTTAGCCGAAATACTACATCCTTTTTCATCCAGTTTGCCTTCGCATGATATTCACTTTTCCCGCGGGTTACTTAAACTGTTTTGTCCAATTACGGTGTTCCACCGAAAATACCCATGGTTAGTCCATCGCTGGTATGTTCAGTGGAGGCCAGTGTGATTCAATGAGCTTAGTTAAACTTTAGCCATGTGGTCATGTAGTGCGCTCTTCTCATTATCTAAGCGCAGCGGATGTGTAATTCTAGAATACGATCGATGGCGTTATACTAAAGCTGTTCCACCACGCAATATGATCAGTAGTTTTGACCCGACTTGATATGAGAATTCTTCTCAAACTGCCTTCGTCAATATGATATGGTGTTAGAACGAAGCCGGCTGCAAGCGTCATGAAGCCTAACAGCTGGACTGCCTGACACACTGGCAAACGGCAGGAAATCAAGCAGGATTTTGCAGAAAATTTGGTCGAGTTCGCTTTCACACTGAAATTTTTGGCCTTAGGTTTTCTCAGTCGATTGGTACGCCTAGCCGTTGACACTTACCGATCTTTGAAATGTCCGTCGCACCAGTTTGACGATGATAAATCTGCTGGTGATACAGACTCTACAGAGCCCTCTTGATGAGAAGTACATAGATATTCTTTAGCATAATGCGTGAAACAGAGGCTGTCTCGAAGTTCTTCTGTGAATTATTTTTCCAAATTTAGTAGTATGGGACGATTACTTAAAATCCTGGAACCATGACTAACACATCGGCCTCAAACACATTGAAAACTGATGAGGACTGTTTGTGGATCCCGAGCAACTGCTTCACACTAGCAAGTTTAAATAAATGAGTTTTTGCCCTAAATGGCCTGTTATAGATGTTGAGGGGAAACCAGTGTGACAGGTTGCTATCGTTGTACAAATGAAAGCATCAGCGGGTCAAACATCTTTATTATTTGTAAGTCATTAGTTAGTCAGGTTCTAATAAACAGGTAATCATGCTGGGCTGCGTGGAAGCCGAAGGGCTGGTTAGCAACCGTCAGGACGGCAGCTGTCTGAATAGACCATTCAAAATCTATCAACGCGGCTCACAGTCAGGACTAGCAAGGCTTACCACATGCCGAAGTTCAACTTATACCGTTGCTCAAGGCAACGCTGAGGCGTTTAGCAACGTTAATAGTTACGTTTCTTCTGAGACAGCGTCGGGCTCTTTGTTTTCCACTCCTCAAAAAGAAGCAGAAAAGAAAGTTATTTTGCAGTCACCGATTGAAGTTCATATAGTGCTTGTAATTAATTAACAGGCGTTCAGCTGGCGGGATGGCTCAGTGATTAGAGCTCGAGTTTACTGACCAATAGGTCGTTAGTTCGAAAGCTTTCTGTCTATGCTTGAGGAACCTGGCAGTATCCCAGCCCACGTGGCTGCTTCGATTGGCATGGCCGCTAGGCACCGAAAAGCGTTCCAGCTGAACAAGTTTTCAGCTGAGCGATCAGAAAAAACGTAAACCTGACTGAGATCTTCTGACGAATGCCCAGTCCTCCCGTATCCTGTGTGTAGTCGGACGTCTGTGTATATTTCTTCGGAGAATACTAGATTTTGAATCGCCATAAATTGCCTCTAGGTCGACCACCGTCAGAATGCGAACAGAAGTTGGTTCCACGTCTTTAAGAGGACTTTGACACGCATCTGATCGTTCATTTCGTCTAAATATTTCAGTAAAATTCTTTGCCTCCATCATGCGAGATCGTCCGTACCTACAAACCAAGGACACTGAAGAGCATGCCACGGCGCATCCGATACGTGCTTCGATCGACCGTGCAGACCAAGAATGCCAACCCACTGTTCTGTGCCAGTTAAGGTCATGTCGTTGTGAGATTCTAGACCAAAATACTGTGAAGCAATATCCAGCCTTGTGCATTATCAGTTGGGGGATCTCTCTCATACACTCGTGTGTGTAATTCTTCAAAATGCCGCTGCACTATGTAGTGAACTCGCCTTGTACGTCAAACGTTGTAAGTGGATATCGACCAGGGTTTCAGTGGACGGATGTTTGTGAAAGACAATCCTTCTGTATAAAACACTGGGAGAGGGATAATACGGTAAGGTCAATTGGGGTCCACCCGCTAGAATGGCTGCAGGGCTCGTTATGGCAACTTCCTAATCATGAAACGGTTGACCTGGGCCACAAGTAGCGAATTTTCAATAAACCTGATGTGAAAAGATCGATCAAAGTAGGTGATACACATGCTACGTCGGTC